TCTAGGTTCTACATGGTAATGGCTTGATTGGCATGTGTCGTGTGTGGTGACGGCGGCGAAACCTCGAGCTTCTTTGTTCGACAGGCATCCAGGACTCTTTTCGTGCAACCAAGAGCTGTTGTGCACCCGCTCACTTGACAACTTGAGACTTTGCGCGTTCGATGTCAATCCAGATGCCTGAAATAATCCGAATCAGGCAGGATCCCCGAGCGAGAGAGCGGGAGAAGGTGAGTGTAGAAGAGAAGGAAGAGACGGAGCTGAAAAGACACCAGCTCCTCTCATTCGTTAGTGCTCCTTCTGTGTCTTCTCGTCTCTTTTCCCGGCTCTTTTGTGGGGGGGCCTCTTCCGGCTCGCTTCGTTCCTTCCCCTCCATGTTCTCTGCCAAGGTTCTACGGCCTCAGCCCGGCGAAGTTGAGGCGCGTCAGAGCTCTTCGAGAGTTTTGAGTCGAGTTGTGAGAGACAGAGGGGGAGAGAGAGCCAGCCGTGCCTAAGCTTTTAGGGTTTGCGAGGAGAAGGCCCTGGCTTTCCTTGAGGGCGGCACAAAGGCCTACTGCAACCATTGCTGCATTTCCGTAGCCCCCTGCACGTGCCAGCCGCCTTCAGAGGCTCTGCGGCCCGAGTTGGTGCGCGAGTGCCTGGTGGCTCTTGCGTACCTCGAGGCTCTCGAGGCTCACGAGGCTCAGGACAGATGTACTAGCTTTTAGTTTTCTCTCGTGGCTTCGCACGTGTCATCGGTCCTAGCTCTGTCTCTCATCTTGGCAGGACAGTGAGATGGAGTACCAGGTGGCAACCTTGGCGTGCCGCAACTGAAGAATGTACTTACAATTGTTTACACAGACTGCACCCGTCTCTGACCACATAGCACAGTGAACACCATCGAACCTCTCTCGTTCACGAGATATCTCGCGGTTTGAGCCAGCCCATGAATGCTCCCACATCAAGCCTTGCATTCTCTGCCAATGTCCGAGAGAATCCTTTCAACCCCGTGGCCGCGGTCAACGCTAAACTAGAGGGCACAAGAAGGCATTGGAAGTGGGAGGAGAAGACCCCCCCCCGAACAGGACGTCCCTCATGAGTGAGATTGTCGTGAGAAGTTCTCCTGAGGTCACAGTGCTGCTCACATGTGACACGGTCGGGGAGCACACGCCCGACAGGGGCTTCGATGTCCCTGCCTAAGTAGATGCGTCTCATCCTTCGAGGTCAGAAATTCAGATAGTGTGGATGCAGGCATCACTGGAACGCAAGTATACCGAGAGCTGTCGGTTTTTCCCAAGAAAGCCTCTGCTACAAGCGTACTGAGTCGGATGCTGACCATGAATCCTTGGCCTTGCTGTCAATCACTGGAGTCATTACCCTCACAAGTCCAACCATTTTTTGTTGTTTTGCCCAAATTTGCATTCTTCGCGGACTTTGCGTCATGCAATTGCCGCCGTCATCTCCTCGAATGGAGCAGAACCTGTCAATGTTCTTGTTCCAAAAGCACTTTCACGGAGATGTGGTAGCAACACTGCTTGCAATATGCACCTCTCGGCCTATTCCCGTATGCTGGTTCTCTCCGGCTGTGTTCCGTTACTTGTGACCAGTCCAGTACTCTGCACCATCACTGCTGCACAGCGGGTGAATCATGCAGCACTGGCCATGTGAGAGGTCTTCACATTCGTGCAGCCGCTGCCTCATGTTGTTCTATCCTCAGGCCTAGGAGGAGTCGCCAAGAGAGCCGCATTGCGGGTCAATGTGGATCCAATGTTGGGATATGTTGGGGTCCAATGTGGTTGCTTAGGAAGCCATGGTCAAGGTCGCAGCACATCCCGCCGAGCGGAGGACTGCCCTGCCGCAAGCGCGCAAGTCACCAGCTTGTAGTGCAATGACTCTTCAATGACATGCTACGAGACATTCTGCGAGAGAGAGAGAGAGAGAGAGCACTCTTCCTGGGGGACCAGGTGCAGTGGAAGGAAGGAAGAGCACTCTTCCTGTAGGAACCCGACCATCAAGGATGTCCAGTGGGTGCAGGAGCCGCTTCTGTCGCTTCTGCCGCTTTTGTGGTCGAGCTCTCTGTGTTGTGTTTGTGTGCTACTGCTGTGCAAGAGGATCGCCAGCACCTCGAGCAGATTCAGAAGGAAGCCGGAGTCAACGAGGCCGCGGCCCGACAGCAAGCATGGACAGCTTTGGCCATGTGAGGGACACCTTCTGCAGGTGATCATGTGCGATTCCGATGGCTGCATCACGGAAGGCACACAGAAACGGATGAAGCCCGATATCATTTTTGGATTGCTTGCCCTGGTTGCGGAGGCCTGCAGACAAATTTCTTCGTGGCGCTGGCTGACGGCAGCTTGTCGCCCTGGCTGAATTGGAACGCTACGGGTGTTGTACGACAGTCGGACAGCCCCTGAGGCAGACGGCCTCGAATGAGCGGGTGCTTGCTGGCACCGTGCGCAAGGCCACCTGTCTCCAGCCATTCTTTCGTCTGCATTTTTTCGAGATTCCCAAACAGCTCTGGCCCTCGCTACAAAGTCAAGTCACAGGTCGTGCTCGATGTGGCGAGCGAGCAGGGCCTGGTGGTAAGGCTCGTTGCAAAGCCAAGGCAGTCCACGCAGATGCAGTGCCGCTCTGAGAGCGCGCCGAGGTTCGAGTGCCCGAGCCTTGCAGAGGCGAAGCTCTGGGAGAGTGTCTGCCCTGGTGAGGGCGATGTTATCTTGTGTGCTGCGGAGACATGTGGAGCATCTCCGAATGTTCTTGAGGTTGCTTCATTTGCTCCACTTCTCGCTTGGTGAAACCCGTGTGCGAGCTCACGATGCCAGAGGGCACAAGGCGCACAAACAGCACAGGGGAGCAGTGCTTCCTGGTTCCGTGATGCACAGCACTTTGGAGCTTGGGGGGCTCGAGCTATTCGAGAAAGGACGTTGTTCAATCTGTGTTTTCGTTTGTTTTTTGAAGGTTTGTTTGTTGGTTCCCTGGTCCTCTGGTCTCCTGCTCCTTTTCTTACATGAGACTGACCCTACTGAGCCCAATGTAGTCAACAACATTTATCTTGACATCATGCTGAATGCTACAATGGCATGTGCCACAAGTCTGGATCGAGGACGCTTTCCCCACGTTTGCCCGGAGATGTCTGGGCCAGACTGTGTGTTGAGTGCATGTAGTGTTCACGGGCTTGGGCTGGATCACTTGAATCTGTATGCTGCGTTTTGCGAAAGCGCAAGCCAGTTCAATGGAAAAATGCCTTTTATCACCGCCGTGGTCCCGCACCATGAGGGATATGTGGGATCGCTCTTCTTGTGAAACCCCGTTAGACCACTTTGCCATTGCAAAGCAAAGTTATGCAAGCAAGGGTACGAGATCTCGATACAAGTATGTGCTGTCAGTTCCTTTGTGAATTTCGATTTTCATATGCTGTAAGATAGACTCGATGGAACGCCGCTCAAAAAAGGTGGCGTACTATTCCGATTCAGAGGCATTTGGAATTTTCGAATGCCCGGAAATGGCTGCAATTTGCAGTGGAGGGTCGAACAGTGCGAATGGCGGAAGCTACCGGGCATCCGGACAGTGTAGCACGTTGTACCGTGCACCTTCTGAGGCTGACAACCATTTTGCAAAGCTTGGGCCAGCATTTCTCGGAGTTGCCGTGACATAGTCCGACAAAGTGCATCTTCAGTGGCAACAAAGTTGTTTCTTCCGAGCTCGCTGGACCTGGCTCCTAGGGAGTGCTCAGTGTAGTCGCATACAGTTGCTAGTTTGCCGGCTGGAAGGGTTCTTCAGTCTCCAACCCCCAGGCGCTTTCCAGATTCCGGGTCCCTGGCGCACCGCATCGAGGTGCCAAGATGTTTCCTAACATCACGGAGGTGTGCCCCTCACAGTGTGGAGCTCCGCTGCTAGGAGCTCGTGCTCCGTGCAGTTCAAGACCACTCTGAGCCTTTGCTTTCCTGAGACTCTGAGAGCCCTTTGCTCAGCTTCAGATGCGAATCGTTTCACTCTGAGCCACCAATTTGTGGATCGCCGTCTCTCGCTTGCAACCGTCCATGCTCATGCTGTCGGTTCTGCGGTGTGACAAAGGCAACTAGTAAAACTAGCAAGTGTTGCAGTATGTCTGAAGACTCCCTTACATCTTGGAGCCTCGGCATAGTCCCTTGAAGGCAAATTCGTCTTTTTTGAAGGCACATGAAGGCACCCTCTGGGACCGGCACGAGCTTTGTTGGTGCTGGCAATTGCGGCGTCAAGTCTGGCATGGACCTTTGCCGCCTTTGCCTTGTCACTGACGTGCTGAGGTTCCCCGGTTTGGCATGATGGCTCGAGCTGAGAACATTGTCGGCAAAATTCTGTAGAGAGGGATTCGTGATGTGGGGTCACTGGGGTTCCGGGCGCGCTTGAGCTGCGGCTTCGCGGTTGCGGCTTTCGGCAACATGCGCGCCGGCTCAGCGAATCTAGACATGTCCTAGAATCACCGTACATGGTCGGAGGCAACGACCATTCCTTGGTGCTCCGAGGTGCAGATCCGTTCTTGCAGCAGTCCTCTTCGCCTCCCACCAGGCTTGGGACAGATCCACATTTTCATCTGAGAAGCCTATTCGCAGAGCCACAGTCTGCAGGCTTGGGCATTGACAGGCGCGGCAGGGTGGCCAATGGTCCATTCGTGGTGGATAAGAACTTGATGTTTGGTGTCGCTTGGTGTCGTTTGGAGTCGTTCGGAGTTGTTTAGTGTCGTTTGGTGTTGTTTGGTGTTGCATCTTTGTGTTGGATTTGGGCCCCCTCGCGGTGCCCTTCCTTGAGACCTTCATCGTAGCAGACAATGAATCGAGAAGCATAGTGCCAGCAGCTGCTGCCGAAGCATCGGGCGTCTGCCCAGCTCCGAAAGAGGACAGCAATACAGTTGACAATTTGACCAGGTGGCAGCTCCTTGGCAGAATCAGGCGTAGAGGAGGATGTGGAGGCCCCGGAGTTCGAAGAAGTTCGAAGAAGCTCGTCTCTTGGTGCTTTCGCAATGGAAGGACGCCCTTGACAGCGGCATGCCGAAAGTCAAAGAAGGCGAGGAGGAGCCGAAGGAGGCTGCCAGAACTCAGACATCTCAGAAACAGCGTGCAAAATCGTCTCGTTTCAGAGTTTAGTGTCGCGCTTTTTTTCCCTGGCGAGGCGATCCCTGCCAGCGAGTTGGCCGGGGTTCTTGGAGGGTTTTTCCGGTGAAAAATCACGAGAGTTGCCATCTCGCCACGACGTCTCAGGTCAGGATGATCTTGATCACAAATGAGGAGGAGGATTCCCAGAGCCTTGATATGCAACAACCGCTTTAGTAGCCGCTGTCCTGCGGGTTTTGTTCACTCTGCTCTCGGGCCGCCGAGGACCTACCAGCAAGCACAGGATTCGTGTGAATCGGTGGAAAGGAGCGGAGACTCCTGGCATCTTTGTGCCAGAGATGAAGTGGAAGAAAACTGGAAAGAGTACCTACTCAAGGCCAGTAGCTCGGCAGAAGAAGGCCAGTTAGAATAGGGCCATAAGTTCCTCAACATGTTCTCAACCATTGGTCCAGCCACTCAATCTTCGCAATGACCTAGGCGGTGCCTATGGATTCCGTGCTTGGGTGGACGAGCGCAACTTTAGTGAAGCTTTCCTGCAAGACATGCACAACCCTCATATGACTCATACTTCAGAGTAGGTTAGATGCACTGCTTGTGGTATTGCGAGTGGAGGTGGAGGGGAGGGAAGGGGGGTGGGGGGCACACTGGAATCTGACAGAGGAAGCGGGCTGCATCCACAACGGACGGAGGACCCAGGCCACCGCGGAAGATCCCAACTGGGCCTGCGGCTATCAGAAGGAGCCTTTCTCGCTTTGGGGCCTCGCTTGACGGTGCCACTTTGCGTCGCTGTCGCAGTCACGAGTCTTACGAGACGCGAGGACAAGAAGTTCAACTCGCTGTGCTGTGTGGACATGGCTGGGGACTTAAGATTCCATGATTCTGCGATTCCATGATGTTTCTGATTCTCTGATCCTCGGATCCTCTGATTCTATGATTCTCTGATGATGTTGTTTGTGCTGGTCGTTTTGTGTTGTGGAGCGCTTTGGTGTGCTTTGTCAGGCTGCCGTGTCGGTGAGGACGGCCGGGAACATGAACGCCCAGAACTTCAGCCAAGCCCAGGCAACGTGCACCGCCTACCGCAGCCACCTCTGCGACCAGTCAGAGGCAGAATCCTTCGTTGCGAACATGGCGCTGGGATCGACCTGGGTCGCCTGGGGAGCCAAAGGCTGCACCCTGGAAGCGGCCAAGAAGAACTGGACATGTGGCGACCTGGCGACGCAAGCCAGCCAGTATGATGCCTTGTGCTGCCTTGACAAGGACTGCGCAAGCAAGTTCGCGAGATCAGCTTCATTTTCCTGCCCTTTTTCCTTCGCCTTAGGCTTAAGTAACTTAAGTAAGTGTCAAGTAAGTCTTAAGCCTGAACGAAAGTGAGCTAGTCGGGACAATGGGGAGCCAATGGAGTGCGAGGACCCCTTGAAGGGCTTGTGGCCGAGCCACCTGGGCGACCCCTGGAGCCTTCAGGAGAGCGTACGCTGCCACTTGAGAAAAGTACTGCTAAAAAGCGCTCTCTCTCTCTCTCTCTCTCCCTCTCTCTCTCTCTCTCTTCTATCTTTTGGATTCTAAAAACACACGGGTTCTTCTCTTTCGCCTGCTGGGTTGCGTTCTTTTCTGGTTGCTCATCTTTCCCTCTTCTCCTTCATCTTTTTGATTCCTTTCATGTCTCCCATTGCCCTCAGAGACTGAGAGGACCGCGCGGACTGCTCGAACAAGCTGGCCATCCTGGATGGTGGCTGCGAAGACTTCACAGGTCAACTCAGTGCCCTGATCAGACTGCAACACAAGACACTGCATCTAAGTGAACCCTTAGCGCAACTGCCCGCAGTTTGTTGTCTCCCCACTCAACCCCTCTAACTCTAACCACCTCTTGTCGGCTTACCTTGCAAGGTTGAGCCCTCAAGTCTGGGGCTCGACTTCGGGATTCTGAAGAAGCTAGCTACCAGTTTCATGTACCTGCACCTAAGCCTGACCCAAGCTTGAAAACCAACGCCATCAGCATATTATGGTCATCTGTTTTGCGGGTCCTTGCCTGGCTGAATTCGAGAGACAAAACACAGAGCTTTGACCAACTCCTTTTTTCAATATCTTTTTCGCTGTGCCTTTCCATCGAGGCGCCTGCGGCGGCAAGCTGGAGAACCGCAGCGGGTTGCGGCGCGGCTGAAGGGATCCCTTCAGAAAAGGGCCGCAAGGGTAGGTTGATCGTGAAAGAAAAGTTTCGTGGAGAGAGGTGTGTGCATCCGCGCGCAAACTCGAGTCGACTCGACTCCATTGGTCTGTCCGTGCCTGCGCTGCCATCCCCATGCACTGTCCCCGTCTCCGTCGCTTTTCCCATGTGCTTCGGCTCTTCTGGCGGATCCGTCGGCGGATGTCGGCGGGATGCTGGTGTGCTTGCATTGATGCTGCTCGTGGCAGAGCACGTGCATCGCAGAGCGTGCAACAAGACAGCACGTGATTGCAGAATCTTTCGTCACACTGCGTGTGGCCATTCCCCCGTGGGCACAGCAGAGGATCCCTTCTCTTTGGGGTATTTTTCTGCTGTGGGTTGTGGATGGTTTTGGTAGAAATCGTAAAAGGGTTGTTCAGAAAACATGGGGACTGTTATGTGACTCTATGTAGTCGCTGTGAATGTTGTTTGTTTTCAGAATTGTTTGGCTTCTGCACGAGCTAACTTGCGTGATTTGCCGCGTCTGCCTGGTCCGTGTAGCGAAGTTTCAAGTGTTGTCTCGACTTGAGGCTGGTGCACTGCGTGGTCGACCTTGGCAGCAGCTCCTGCAGGCCGAGCGGCGTGCAGTGCCTGCCGGACACCTGCGAACCTCAGCAGCATTTGACAGGTTGCCTTCATGCGATCATACGTGTTTCATCAGGTTTTCATGTTTTCGGAGCAGATGTTCAGATGGCTCTCAGCTCTCCATAACTTGATTTACTTGCCGCCGGAACTCAAAGGTCGGGGCCTGCAGCGCCGTTGCCTGGCTGATACTGCCGCGCTAGCTCACTGTCGGCAAAAAACCTCAAATGGCCCAGGGTCCCTTGCGCCCAGGTGCGATAAGGTCACCGAGCGCTGTGTGCAGCCCCGTGCCTCGCACGCTCAGCCGCTCTCAGGTGTAGAAAAGGCCGGGCGGCGCGAAGTCCCAGCACTCTCCGCGACAGATGCTGCACGGCGGGGCACTGCGTGCTCATACCCTGCGAGAGCTGTTTGGGCTCAGTGCGTTCAGGTCTTTTCAACCAGACAGCATCACTATCTCCTACATTGTAGGAGGGCTAGTGCAGAGAAGTTGTTACGTGCAGAGAGAACAGCTTTTCAATGCGGGGAGCACCGAGCCATCTAGCACTGCGGACAACCGAGCGCCATGCTTTGGTGTCTCGACATGTGTCGACATGACTGTCCACCCTGCTGCCAAAGGCCCTTCCGAAGCTGCAAGAGTGGACGACACACTTCCACTGACAGTGGAGAGGGCAGACGAGGTCAGAGCGTTCTGTGACAGCGTGAGGCACCCGGCCGCAAGTTCGCCCCTCCGTCCGCGTGCCCCCTAAAGGCGCAATGCTTTCAACGAGTGGTGCTCCTGCACTGGCAATTCTGCATCGGTTGCAGGAAGTGGCTATGGAGGGGTCCCGAGACCACTAGGCCTGCGCAAGTGTGGTGAGGGGAAGCATGCACATTTCTCGCAAGTTTCTTTCAATGTTTTTCTTTTTGGGTGTGTGTGTGTGAGCGCTGCAATGCGTTGAACAATGAACAATGCTGAACAGGTGTTCGGCCACCGGGCACGAGACCGGCAGCATTCGGAGGCCAAGAGCCCAGGTTTCCGTGAGGAACGTGTGCAAAACAGATTGAGCGCACGAATATCTGGCGTTCTTTAGGGCCTTTCAGGGCCGCTTCGGAATATGCAGTTTGACTTGACAGGGCCCATGTTCCTCCGTCCAAGGCGCAGTTCCCGCTGTCAGTGCTGGTGCCAGCAGTGCCAGCGCCGGCAGTTCCGGTGCCGTTTCCGGGCGGCGTCCTCCATACCGACCGGGCTGGGAGCCGCAGAAACTTCCTGTTGAAACCACCGTGATCATGTGCTCAACCTTGTGCTTCAGAGGCGGAGCACCTGTCGCAAAACCTGATGCGAGACCTATTGAGATTCCGGAGGCAATGGGCTACTGCTGCCTAGGAAGTTTGCAAGGTGCTGGGTGGTAAACTGCGCGAGTCTCTGGGCCTCCTGTTGTTGAAGGAGCCGGCGCCATCAACTGGCTCGAGCTCTCATGAAAGGCTCGTCCTTGTCCCGGTGCCAACGGTTCGATGTAAGGACTTTAGAGGCACGAAATTAGGAGGCTCTTCCCCTAACCCTGGAGTAGTCGAGGGATGCCCTTCCCCCTGTTTTCCTGTGGCATTCTGTGCTCTTCCGACGTTCTTTGCCGTTGCTCCGGTGATTGTGGGGAGCTTCAAGTATGTTTAGAGGGTTTAGGAAAGGACGAGGGCTCCGAATGCACCTGTTCTGTTTTTGGTTTGCGAACTTCGAGCGGAGGCGTGCGGGGCGCCGTGTGCGCTTCAAGCCGACTGGTGAAGGCTGGGGCCTGCAGGAGGTCGAGGACCGCCTCTTTAGGTTCCTCAGTGTGCAGGCACCCTCACCCTCTCCCTGTCCAGCATATGCTGCTACCGAGGAAAGCTTGTGACGTGATCATTCTACACGCTGTGCATGGTGCTATCTTTGGTCATCCCTCTGTGCGCCCCTCTTCAAAAGCAACACTCCATCCACATGCTTGCCGTCTTGGACGTTTCGACCTAGTTGCAAAGTTGACGAAGGGCGCCGAACAGCTGTTCTCATGACTGAAGCCTCCTTTGGCAGCGCTCTTGCAACCAATCAGCATCTAAGGTCTCACGCTTTCGTAAGCCTTTGGCAGCTCCCAACCCCCGCGCAGGATTACTTGGTGAGTTTCGGCCCGATCTCAGAGGTGGAGCAGACGGAGCCGCCGCAGCACCCAGCTGTGGGATTTCGAAGAAATTCGATGAGCTGTCGATGGATGGTTTGTTTAAGAGTTTTTGTTTCGTTTTGGCCGGTTGGTGGTAATTACTCCCTCGAGCAAACGTCAGCAACGAAAGCTTTCGCTTGTTGCTCTTTGTATTTTGTTTGCATCCTCGGTACGGCACATATGTGGCCTGTTCTCTTTGCAAGACTGATCTGCTTCTTGTTATAGGAAGTTAAGGCTTTTAGGGGTGCGGTTTACAGGGAAAAGAAGGTTTAGGGGTTTAGGGTTAAGCTGTCCATGCTTCTCACGCTCGTCCTGTCTTCGGAGTTGGATCTCGGACGTGATGCCACGTCTTGCCACGTACGAACGTGCCTCTGGGGGGCGGCGATACAGTGGGGTTCTGTGTGGTTTCGTGTCGGGAATGGGGGGGGGGGGGGGGGGGGGGAATGGGGCGTTAAGTGGTGGGTTGCAGGGGCGTGTTCGATGTCACCTTCTTGGAAGCTGAATCGGCTTCGCATGCGCCTGGTTCTCGGAAGTTGTTTTTTTGAGAAGTTCTCGGAGCAGCAGTGTTGAAAGTGGTTGTTGAAGCGTCCGCTCGAAAGCGCCGAGTGCCGAGGGCCAGGGAACTCGATGGGATGCTGTGGGCCCAGGCTTTCGCAAAACGACATCATCTGTATTCAGCTCTATTCAATGTGTATTCGCTGCTGTTCTCTTATGTGGACTTTGCTGTGTAGGGCGAGCGACCGCTACAATGCCAGCGGGTGATTGCGCAGGACCCTTGCTGTGTCGTGTTGTGTCGTGTTGTGCCAGTCCAGCTCAGACAGCTTGCTCTCAGCCTTGTTCTGATCTTGCTTGTTGTTTGCCCGCCAGCTCTGCAAGGAGCCCGCGCCGTCCGCGCCGTCCGCGCCGTCCGCGCCGTCCGAGTACCAGGTTTTCCAGGTGTGGACGAGAGCCGGTATGATCGCCGATGCTCACACTAGTGAGCTAATTTAATTTAAGCCCCCCCCAAACCCAGCCAAACACCATTTAATCCCTGTAAGCCCAAACAAAGCTGCCCAGTTCTACGTGGACGAACTCCTGACCTGCGCCCATGCTCCAGGCCCCCTCTGCATCGGGGGCCTTGGTTTGTATGCATGTCTATGCAGGCCATTGAATGTTGAATCTTCCCAAACAGCGTGCTCACGCTACGCCGGCGTAGAACAAGCTTCCAAAGCCCTCTGGACACGTTAAGAACCCTCAGGAGTCCTCGCAAAGTTGACTTCAGGAGTTCCGGAGTCTCTGAGTCTCTGAGTCTTTGAGTCCCTGGGTCACACGGTCACACGCCGTTTGGGGCTTTGAAAAAACACTTGAAGGCCCTCTCGACCGGCAAGTCTTTCTCAGCGAGCTGCCGCTGGAAGCGCCTTGAATGGAGAAGACCTTGTGTTTGGGAAGGCGAGAGGTATGATAGGGAAGGCAAGAGATCTAGGAAGGTTTGTTGGGAAGTGTGCCGGGAAGTGTCCTGGGAAGTGTGCTGGGGAGTGTCTTGAAGATTCGTGGGCTCTCACCATCAGTCGAGGAATATCCCGAGGATGCACTCCGCAACTGGCTGCCGGGACACCTACGGGGAAATGTCGTATATGATTTCATGGTGAGAGTGAGTACATGCGAGAGTTCTATGTGCTTTGCCTAGAATCAAACTCTGACACTGAGGCAAGACTTCGGCGAGATCCAGAACTTTTGCCTGCTGCAGGCGGGCTCCGCTCCTCGTGTGTGTCCCCTTTTCGAGGGAGAGAATAAATAAGTGTCTGTGTGTCTCTCCCTCTCTCTGTCTCTCTCTCTGTGTGTGTGTGTATGTCCCCCTTCTATTTCGAGAGAGCGAGCTCTCGCTCTCTTCTTGTTGAGTTGAGAAAGAGACAGGGAGAGATAGAGAGGCACTGAGTATCAGGGGACCTTTGACCGTGACAAGAACCACAGCCGTCGCGGCCGGGGCCTCCCGGGGGCCCTCTTAGCGTGAAGAAGAAGAAGAAGAAGAAGAACTGAGTATCGTGCGTGCGTGCGTGCGTGCGTGCGTGCGTGCGTGCGTGCGTGCGTGCGTGCGTGGGTGGGTGGGTGGGTGGGTGGGTGGGTGGGTGGGTGGGTGGGTGGGTGGGTGGGTGGGTGGGTGGGTGGGTGGGTGGGTGGGTGGTGTGTGTGTGTGTGTGTGTGTGTGTGTGCGCTCTTTGTTGAGATAAATGATGCGGAGGGTGGGGGGGGGTGGGGTGTTCTTCTGCGCGCAGGATGCCAAGCAGGAGCCCACAGGCCGAGTGTGCACTTCCCGCCGCTGCGTACCCTGCAGAACGTTCCGAGCGTTCCGCGTGCTCGCGTGGCTCTGGTGGCGGTGTCTTGCCTTCGTAGGCCACGCCTACGTCACTTTCGCGACCCACGAGCATGCCAGCTGCTCAGCCTCTGAGTGAAAAGAGAAATGCAAAGAAAAACGGCAGAGAGGTAATGCAGAGAGGGAACCTTCGTGAGCCCAAGCCACACATCGTACATCCCATGCTTTTTTGAAAGCTTCGCTGAGGCCGTGTCTTTGGTAGACACGCTGGCCGAAGAGGATGATGACAGCATCAACATCAAGGGTTCATGGCACGCCTCCCGGTGTTGGGGCTGTTGGGTTCCAAGGGTGACCCTGGTGCAAAAAGAGTCCAGCTGAGGTCAGTATCGGAGAAGATGGTGCAGAGGGCTCAAGGCGCCGGTCCCAAGGTGTTTGGGCGAGGTCAATCCATGCTGCTAGTCCACACATGCTCCGAATTCCAGGGCCCTTCAGAGGGGACGTCGTCACCTCCCTGGCGCACCGTTTAAGGTCCGGCATGGGTACGATCAGACTTTGATCAGCACATCACGAAACATCGCCAAGGCGTTTACGGAACGCACGCCACTCTTGACCGGCAGGGGGATGCAGCAGAGCCTCATGTGCGACAAGCTCCTCCTTGGTGGGGAGCGAGCTCGCGCAGTGTGCTTTGCAGTGTGCTTCGCCTTCGCGGTGTGCTTCGTGGTGTGCTTCGCGGTGTGCTTCAGAGTGCTTCTCACAGATGCCCAGCTGAAGTCGGTACACAATTTGCAGGACAGCTGGCCTTCAACCTTGGCAGAGGTTGTGGAGGTTTTTGGCCGGAAGCCATTCCCGCCCTGGTGCTCAGAGCCTCTCTTCAGAGTCTCTTTGAGTCTCTTTTGCTGTAGTAGATGTCGCTCGATTTTTGAGTCTCCGTGGGGGAAGGCGGACTTGCTTTAATTCGCTGGATTGATGCGATGGGTGCCTAGGCAAGCCTTGTACATCCTGGCGCGGACCACCCTTCCGCAGGACGTGGCTATGCAGCGTCTGGCATTTAGGCTTTAGGGACTGTAGGATGTTAAGAACGACGATGACACCATTTCCGAATTTCCCGAATTTTTGAAAGTCACTTTCGGGCTTTGTTGAGGGTTTCTTGAATCTTGCCTATGAACATCTGCGCGAGCACTGTCTTTATGGACGGTTCTGATGATCACAAGCTCGCGAAAGGTCGACTGTAGCCCTCGTGAAGTGAAGCCAATATCTGTTGAAGGAACATGGTCAAAGCTTGGGATTTTTTGGTTCAATGGGGAATATAAAGGGGGGGTTCTTCAGCCCTGAAAAAGGATCGAGAGCACGAGGCGTCCTGGTCCTTAGAGCATCCACATAATGGCCCCACCCAGGAGCAGATCAAGCAGAAGCTGAAAGCCATCGTTTCCCACGCCGTCTCTCACCCAATCGCGCCAAAGAAGGACCCGAAATGATGAGCAATTTTGCTTGTGTGCCGGCTGCGTGACAGCTTAGATGATCTTAGATGACAACAGAATGATGCATCAAGTAGAGCACTGGATGCGTTGGCAGGCGGTGCGTCCGCCAGCGCCGCAGGCGGCAAAGGTGGCCAAGGCGCCACAGGCCGCGGCTTCGGCGGCTTCAGCGCCTGCGGCGTCTGCGGTGCCTGCGGCAGGCTACCTGGCAACCGCTCGGCCACGGCCAGTGCGCCCACCAAGGCCCACCACCCCCACCGTGCAAGCAGCCAGCCCAGCCCAGAACACCCAAGTGCCCAGAACCCACGCCGCCCAGGCGGCACAGGCAGCCCAAACCCAATCACCTCCGAAGATACGGGCCAGCGGACCGTCCGTGCGCCCCGCTGCGGCGCCCCTGCGCGGGACTGCTGCAGCTGCTGCCACACCATTCGCCACTGCCGCTACGCCGCCGGCAGCACCAGCACCGGCACCAACAGCAGCACCGGCACCTGCACCGGCAGCTGCACCGGCAGCTGCAGCGGCAGCAGCGTCTGCGGCGAGAGCTGCAGGGCCACTCTCCCCCTGTGTGCAGGGCTCAGGAAGGAGTGCTCAGGGATCTGGCCGCCAAGTACGCCTAGCATGACTGTCTTTTTGGCATTGCATAACACTCCTCAGATCCTCGTGCGCGGCATTGCTGCCAGCTGGAGCGAGCAGCAGGCCCGTCTGACAGGAGTGCACTGAGTGCACTTGATGTTGGAAGCTGATGGTCCCTTTGAGGTCAAGCTGATCTTTGCAGTATTTGGAGGTGTTGCAGCCTTGCAGCTTTCTGAGGATGTGATGGCACTTCACTTTGCTTTAGTTACGGGAATGTCAGTACACAAGGGGTGCTTACTACAACATTGCTCCAGGACCAGAGTGGTCGCTTTGCAAGGGTGCAGCTGAAGGTGCAGGACAAGATGGCGAAGGTGAATGGACCGAATGTGCGAAGGGATGTAAGTCGGCTTCGGGGGAACAACTTATCCCAGTTCCGAATGCGCCTAGGGTCCCCGTCGGGCGCAATCGGTGCAATCAGAAGTTTCAGAATCCGTCTGCGTCAGTTCTTCTTTGGTAGGCTGTGGAGCAGCTCAACAACACGCAGGCCTCCCGCGAGTGCTCCCAATGCTGAGGTTTTCCGAAGCGTCTATAGGATTATGATGCGAGGATAGTTTAGGACGTCTAGCCAGGACTAAAGTGCTTCAGAGATGTTGTAAATCCCTCGCAGGTAAACCCTAAGCTTCGGGCGGATTCCGTTTTGATAGGCTTCAAGGAGAGGATAGAGGCTCGCCTGCCCGAGGAAGGTGAACATGACAAGGGTCATTTGGGGTCATAGGATTTCACAGGTCCTAAGTTTCGGGGCCGTTTAGGACTCTTGTGAGTTGAGTTGAACTGAACTCCAGCTGAAGAATATGAGACGGGTCGAAGGTTGGAGATGGCGAGCTGATGGAGGAGTGCACCCTCAGTTGCGAGCTCCAAGGCGCGCGGTGTGGCATATGTTGCTGCGCCATGCAGTGTGGCGCGCACGTAGAGTTGCGCATATGTGCAAAATCACGGCACGGTCTTCGTATGTTGACCTTTTTCTGCAAGGTGTGGAGGAGACGAGGTCGCGGGCTTCTCCCTGTATGCCTGTAGTCATCCAGAAATTTGAGAGGCCGAAGATCCACACGGTCTTTTTGGACGAGCTCACCCTGAGCTGGGCAGGCCTTGAGCCTGGTGCCGGCGACTGCGAGGCTCATTTGGATTCTCCCTCTCTTTACTGGACTCTAAAGCCACCCTGCGCAGCTCTACATGTGCAACTTGCCCGTCGCAGACTGCTTGGAGGACTTTCGCTAGTGTCACAATTGTGCAGGCAGACGCCCCGCCGCGTGTTTGACGAGTAAAGTGGTGTGGCCACTTGACAGGACGACATCATGGAATGGCTTGGCGGCTTTGGAGATGTGAAGGACTCCCCCACGCCCGTCCTCCACCCCGCCGTGTCCCCTCCAACAAGAACCCCCAAAAACAAGAACAGATACTTCAAATCGCTAACTTTTTCCAGGACCTGTATCTCCTGCGCAGCCAAGAGCCCGGCAAAGACCCCAAAGCCCCTGGGCTCACAGGGCAGGCGCGCTGCGGGCTTTGCGTGCTTTGCGTGCTTTGCGTGCTTTGCATGCTTTTGCGGGCCTTTCCAGCCTTTTCGGCTTCTGCCAGGGCTTGTTGGGATTTTATTTGTTTGAGCTTTCGAAGTGGTTGGAGCCAGGTTTCAATTTCCAGTCAGTTTCCTCGTTTAGATCCTTTCCGAGTGCCGTCTTCGTCTCTTTGTCTCAGGGCTATGTGCGCTTCTCCTCGAACAAGGAAGCCAAGGAGTGCCTCGAGGCGCGACTCTCGCCACACGTGGGGAGCATCATTGAACTCCACATATGTCTCCTTCCTGTTCAGTTGTTCTAACAGAGTTGTTCTAACAGGGTGCTCTTTCGGAGCATTTTAGAAGGCCAACTCGACGCCTGCGGATGCGGAGGAGGGCGACGTGATTGGCACCTGGCCCCGCGCCTGAAAGACCTTCGAGCGTTCAATGATGTTCGAATCCGAAGCCCAAGCATCCGAAATTCGCAGCAGCCCCCAGAGGTCCCAGAGCGAGAGGCTGCTGCAGGGAGCCAGCAGCGTTTACGGCCCCTCAGCTCTTAAAAGCTCCCTTCCGCGGAAGCGCAAAGCTGCAGAGCACATTTTTGCGGGGATTTGGGGGGGGGTGGGGTCTCCCGAAGTTTCTACACGCCTCTGCAAGCCTCTGCAAGCCTCTGCACTTGAACTTGAAAGGCCTTGACCTCTTGCAGTGCATCGACCAGAACTTCTTGCAATCGGTCGGGAAGGCAGCCAAGGCAAGGGGCACCAGCGCTGCCACCCTTTCTGTGCGAGTACTCACGTGTATTGTGCAGTTCCAGCAGGTAAAGAACCTATGGCTGCTGGCTGAAGGAAGGGCCGTCGGCCCCCAAGCACCGAAACCGCAGGCGGAACGAGCCTCGCCCACCCTTCGCACATCAGCTCCTTTCGTGTATTCGTTATGCAGTCCCGTCCCCCAATCGAACATGTCTGGACATGCTAGGGTGATAGGAAAGGCACGTACCGTCCGCTATAGGCGCCCAAGTGGCGTAATCTGTTGTGAAAGGAGTGCGGGCCGTGCTTGAAACAAACTAGGCGCCAGGCTGAAAACCTTAAATCTCAGGCCCCACCCGAAACCCTTCGAGCTTTTCAGACTCGCCGCTTGGGCATTTTTGACCGTTTGCTTTTTCAGACTCCCCCCGGGCATTTTCTGCCGAGGAACCCTGGATGAAGAGATGGAAGGATAAGAGTAGAAGGTGCTGAGAGCCCATATGTTTCAGCAACCCCGAGGTAGATTTCCGTTTGCAAATGCAGGAGAAGTGAGCACAATGACGAAGATTTCAGACTCGGAGAAAGATGCATGACCAGCATGGCCTCCAAAGGTGCTTCTCTTCGTTTCACATCAAGGAAGCAGTCAGGTCTTCAAAGGTCTTCAGAAGGAGAATCCACAGGCTCAATCTGGACAGCGCAGCGGCCCCATGAGCAGCAACAGGACAACCAAACGGCAGGGCCAAAAAGCAAGATCAAGTCTGCGCACAAGGGCTACTGTGGTGTGTGTGTGTGTGTGAGTGAATCTTTTTGCAACTCAGTCAGTAAAGAGCACCTCCGGAACTTTCCGACGAGACGAGGGTGTTAAGTGGTGTTGAGCATCTGTGTAAGGCTCAGGACCCAACTCAACAGCTTCGACCAACTTCAGCGCCTTCTCACAGCTTGAATCGACACAACGATGTACCCGTAGCGAACATTCAGTGGTTTCGACTTTGGTTATTTTGGGTTAGCAGTTGTGCAGTTCCCGTGCGAAGCTGTCCCGGGAGGCAAAGCAGCTGCATTTTGCCAGTGACTGCTTGGAGGTGGAGCCCTCTCATTCATCGAAGGAGTAAAAGCCGAGTAAGCGGAGCGTTCAGAAGTCACTCATCTCGTTGTCGGGCACGGACGTCGGTGAGTGTAAGTGGGGGAACTTGCAGACGACGAGCTTCCGCGTGGTTTGATTGCAACTTGGACAAGGCGGAGCTGCCCCAGCTTCGGGAGCAGCTGCGGCAGGCGGGAAGTGGAAGCGGGAAGCGTGTGTGTGTGTGTGTGTGTGTGTGTGTGTGTGTGTGTGTGTGTGTGTGTGTGTGTGTGTGTGTGTGTGTGTGTGTGTGTGTGCGTGTGTGTGTGTGTGTGTGAGCGAACAGCCCGACTGCCTGCTCTGCTCGCGACAAGGCCCTGGCCGAGCTCCGGAAGGCCAAGACGGAAGCCGCGAAGGCAGACGAGGCCAAGGCGGCCAAGGCGGCCAAAGAGGCCAAGGAGGCCAAGGAGGCCAAGGAGGCCAAGGAGGCCAAGGAGGCCAAGGAGGCCAAGGAGGCCAAAGGCACAGCACTGAGAACTGAGCAGAACGGAGCAGATCGGAGCAGCACGGAGCAGTAGCGCAAGCTGTGTGCAAGCCGTGTGCAAGGCAAGACGTCGGATGCAGGGGAGGCTGGACTGTGCGCAAGTGCCGCAAGTGCCGCAAGTGCTGCAAGTGCCGCAAGGGCCGCAAGTGCAGGAGGATCGAGATAGGGCGCGTGGCAAGATGCGGGCACGGAATTCTGCAGGCGCCGCCTCCTGGAACCTGGCAGCCGCCCGCCATGCCATCCTACGGCTGGCAAAAGCCGCCTGGAGCAGCATCTCGGGTCAATCTCAGTGCAGTGTTAGCTTAAGTGATTTTGAAGGGCAGCTCTCAGTCTGAGCAATTCTGATCAAAGGCTTGGGGCTGGCCACAGTGGGGAGCTGCAGCTACCGGGCCGTTGCCCGAGAACCGCACATTGTTGAAGGGGGAGGAAGGGGATTAGAGAGAGAGCACTGACAGAGAGCCCTTAAAGAGAGCCCTCCCCAAGAGTTCTCAAGAGTTCTCAAAGGTCTGCATGGACATATCCCAGCTATCCGCAAGGCGCACAAGGCTGTCCAATTCCAGCTGTTCGCAGTTGTCACCAGTTTGTCACGATCTGAAGCGACCAGGCGCAGGCTCGTCCTCGTCGGCCCCATCTGCACCCAAAGATGCGCCCAAGGAAAAGGAGAAAGGCGCCGGGCAAGGGCTGCCAACTCCCAAAAGCTACTTCAACCCTAGCCCAATGCTTGCCTCATGCCTTCACGTCGGCCCGGGACAGCGAGATTCCCTGAACTCCAAGTTTTGAAAGTGCTGTGCTTTACACAAGCTTGCCGTGTCTTCCGGATGGACCCACGGCCCACCGCGTTCCCGATGCAAGTCTTGGAGTCTGTGAGGCGAGAAGGAGAAGGGCATAGCAGACAAGGTGGCAGAGGGAGAGGTGCGGGCGAGGGGGGGGGGGGGGCGCCCATGAAGGTGCCATTGGGCCATAAGGGTAGCATATGATCAAGAGCCAAAATCATCTCTTTCTCTCTCTTTCATTTTGGGGCTGTTCTAGGATCTCGGTAGGACAAGAGTTCGGGAGCCTTCATGTGTGTGGGGGCTTGACATGATGGCTTTGGGCATATGGCCAAGTGGACACATGGGGCCCTTTGCGTGCTTTTCGGCTCGAGTTTCCGAGAGCTGCGGCCCCTCGTGCCAGCTCTTTTGCTGCACCCCCTTCGTTGAATCTTCCGGCCTTTGCCGCCTCAGAGCATGTCGCAGGAGCACACTGAGTACATTCAAAGCTGCTTGGCGCACTGGGCGCAGGGCCGGGGGGGTTTAAGCAGTCCCTCTGACTCTCGGATTCTCTGATTCACTGCTGAGGCCTCTTATTCTTGACAATTTTTCTTTGAACTTATGTTCGACAGCTCGCAGATCACCACCATGTGGCAGCCTCCCTGCTTTGCCAAGGCAAAGTAAATCCTATCCTCGAGAGCCTCGTGACAGAGGTCTTGCTGGAACGCCCGGACAACCCCGAAACTCCGCTGCAGAACCGTTCAATGCGAGGTAAGGCTTTGGGCAGCTGACGTTTGCGTGCTGAGTTCTGCCTTCGCAGGTTGCTGGGAGCTGTTGGATGGTGTTGTATCAATTTCATTGTCGTATTGGGCTGTTGTCAATTGACTCCGCCCACCGCCCACTCGGCAATCAGCCCAGGTACCCTTTATGGTTCGATGGCTTGCTGAAACGTGGATGCATTCAGTGCCAAGAGGTCTGCTTATATGATGTGACAAAAGTTTAGCCGGATGAGCGCTGTCACTCGATGTCGTTCACCGCTTGCACAAGGAGCGTTCGAAAGCTGGCAAGGACATGGCGTTCTCGTAAATGTGTCCACGTTGTCGTAGATCCTTAGATAGGCTTGCTCTGCGAAACCCCGCGAAACCCCAGTAAACCGCACCACCCCCCCCCACCCCCAAAGCGCCTTCCTCGGGCGAGGACTCTTTGTACTCACTGGGGGTTGGCGAAGCGGAACGCTTGCGCAACGAGATCCGCGAGCTTCAGGCTCGGGCGCTGTTGTGCAGTCCTTTGAGGTTCGATGCTTTATGGACGGCTTGGTCGTTTGTGGTTTCAAGTCGCCCAGAGGACGAGATCAAAGTCCTTTCGGACAAGGTGGGTGATGCCAAAGCCAAGGGTGAAGAAAAGAAGGCGGGCCCCCAAAAAAGCTGGTTCTATGCAGCTGATGAAACTCGAGGTGCAACTTGAGGTGAACCGCAGGATAACCAACAGGTTGTTGAAGATCTCTGAGCCTCCTCCACTCCTCCCTCCCCTAGGATCCTTGGTTTGGGCATTCATCTTCGGCTCCTGGGTTGCCTTCTTTCTATGCCTCTATGCTCCTGAACGCTCGTTACATGCCCTCTACTCTAGATGGTCCGAGTCAGGCTTCTCTGTGAGTGGTCCCAGCACCGGTGCCAGGAAGAGACAGAGAAGAAGGAAGAGACCGAGGCACCGCAGGATTCCCCTGGGGAGAAGGAAGAAAAAGAAGAAAAAACGGAGGGAGCTGGTGGCAAGGAGGAGGGCGAGGAAGCAGAGGAGGAGGAGGAGAAGGAGGATAAGAAGAACAATGACGACGAGAGCGAGGAGGAGGCAGGGCACAAAGAATGCTCTTCTGTCGGGTATTTCTTTTTTTGTTTGGTGGAACCTGGGACTCCTGGAACCGGCTCTCTCGTTCTTTTCTTTTGAGCCCTTCTCGTGGGCATCCGCCCGGCATCGTGGGCCACATGAAAGGATGACTTCGGAGACGACGATGAGGATGACGTGGACGATGACTGGAAGCCGCCGACCGCGTACATGAAGAAGGGACAGCGAGGCGATATCATAAGATGCCATAAGACAACCCTAGGGCCCGAGGTGCAAAAGTAGCAGTATGTAGCAGCAAGGCTGACTTGCGCGCCAGGATCCGTGTCCGCGGAGGCCTACGGCGCCTTCAATCAGAAGCAGGCCTTCGAGCCGCCGGTCTACGAGAAATCATCCGAGCAGGCCCCGCATGGCGTGCCTCCCTGCTCTCCTCTACTTTTCTTACTTTTCTCATCTTTTCTCTCTCCTCTCTTTTTTTCTTGGCTTATGTGCTGTTTGCTTTTCGCATGTTGCAGATTGCTTTTGTCGCGCAGAGAATGCGGGTTTTGTTGCTGACAGGAAGAGCGCATCAACGCCGTCTTGTCCAAGAGCTTCCTCTTCAATGCTCTGAGCAAGGACCCCTTTAAGGCTTCCCGTTTCTCCGGGATCTGTCAGGGGGACCTGGGGGAGGGTTCGGGGGGGGTGAGGTACGAAATCATGGCTTTTATGGGGGGAAAGCAGAGGACGACCTCAAGGTCATCCTTGGAGCCTTCTTGGAGAAGAAGATCTCTGCCGGTGACCGCATCATTCAGGCGAGGCTGAGGTGTCCGTGCCAGGGGCTCTCTTCTTTCTTCTGTTCTCTCCAAGGTGATGCACGGAATGTGCTGTGCACACTTCGTACACCCTTTGTACGCCCTTTGACTCTAATTGTACACTTCTTTTGGGAGAGCAGGAAGGAGATGACGGAGATGTCATGTTCCTCATCGAGTCAGGGGCCTTTGACTGCATCAAGCCACTCAGCTTTCAAAATAGCCAAAATAGCCAAAGTAGCCGAAGCCCACGCAGAGACTCAGAAGAAAAGTCTGATGCTCTGTATGCTCTGTTTCTCTTGCGCCTCAAAAGGAAGATCGATGGTGTGGACAAGGCGCCCTTAAAGTGGCGGAGTTGACGAGTTCCTGCCTGCAATAACTCGCCTATACTCGTCTTGAAGGATCCTCTTATGTTGACATGATAATGGCATATAATGGCTTACTGCATGGCTTACTTCATATGGCTTACTGCATGGCATACTGCACAGGTCGTCAAGAAGCCGGGCACTTGGGGGGGGGGGGGCACATGGACTCAGCAAGGTGTGTGTGTGTGTGTCAGAATTTGTCATGACTCTTTGAGGTGTGGTCAGGGCGACGTCTTCGGTGAGCTGGCCTTGTTTCCTGGTTCAGCATTGCGTGATGCTTCTGGAAGCCTTCTTTCGGCTTCAGACAGAGAACGTGCGCACGTCTGCCACTCACAGGCTTTACAATTGCCCTCGTGCTGCGTCAGTGGAAGCCACAGAGGAAGCTGTTGCACCTTGGTGGCACACTCAACTGCTCGCTGGCTGCCCATGATTCGTGCTGGCCTTTCTGCCAGGTGTGGCAGCTCGATCGTGAGACTTTCAGATGGGCCCTTAGCCATTGCAGGTGTTGGTTCATTCTATCTCCATGCAGGTACCGTGCAGTGAATGCACCGCCTTGACAAGGCCACATTGTTCGAGATGCGTCCGCAAAGCGGCGCGACAATTTCATGGCCCTTTGCTAAGCTGCATGTTGAAGTCGTCAACAACAGCTTCGAAGACCTTCATGATGCCTGGCTTGTGCCAAGCAAGTGGACTCGTGCTTGCTTACGTGGCACGTAGCCCAAGGACTTTTTGAAGACCGTGCCCTTGTTCAAGCCTCTGGAAAGCTACGACCTGATGCAGCTTGCCGACTGCCTTCAGCAGCAGCTCCTTGGCGGAACTCGACGGAGCTCGGAATGCATCGGAACTCTGAGCTCGTGACGCAGAGCCGTCATCGCCCCAAGGACGCTGGAGGCGGGCGAGACCATCCTCAAGCAGGGGGATCCGGGAGACACCTTCTACCTCGTGGAGGCCTGGGGGATGCTGGGGATGGCCGCCATTTTGGTGAAGGTGTGAGCTCCGTGCCCTTTGTCTCAAGGACGGAGATCTTGTGGCCACAAAGACGCGGGATGGTGGCAGCCAGGAGGACCTCTGCAAGATGTGCTGGGAAGCGCCCTGAGCTTGATGCTGATATTTTGCCTGTGAGGAAGTGCATCACTACAAGCGCGGTGGCTAGCCTCATCTGGAACGGGCTGTGCTGTGGGCTCGCCTGGGGCATTTGTTTGCACCGAAGGTACCCCAAGAAGTCGTTCGGTCTCGCATTCGTGCGAACTTGCTGTGAAGCACTAATCGCCTAGTACAACAAACTCACGGCAACTGAGACGGGGGTAGGGAGAAGGGCTCAGAGGCGCAGGGCCTGGGAACGTGATGCCACTCCACCCTGCCGCCCCCCGGCTTCAGGGTCCTTCATCTCGCAAGTCTAATATTCGTTTAAGGCGTAGACTTCGTGAAGATGTGATGCAACACACCCCTTTTGTTGGGCATCTCGACACCAAACATTGCATCCACTCCCAAGAGAAGATGGCAAATCAGGCGACTACTTTGGGGAGCTGGCGCTGCTGAAGAACGAGCCCCGTGCGGCAACCGTCTCGGCAAAGACGGAATCCAAGGTTTGCAAGGTCCGGGCCGTTGCTACGACTGCTACGACAAGCATGTGGTGCCTTTGTGGTGCAGTGTGAGCTCATGCTGCCCCACGCTGCCCTCAGATCGACCGCAAGTCCTTCAAGAACATATTGGGACAGCTCGAGGCTTTGCTGTTACCTTATGGCATGTGTTTGGAGTTTGGAGAGCTCTTGGCTATGCCATGCAGGCTCAGTTCAAGGAGGCCGCCCAAAAGTACAAGCCCTGATCGAGACCGACATGCAGGCTCATGCGGACGCAAGGGCAGGGGCCAAGTAGCGGAGTTTAATGGATTAACGGAGGCAACAAGAAACAACGGAAAAGCTGTAGACCGGGTGCAGGCTATGGACCTTGCCGCCGACAAGTTTGTCCATGGTGTCCTGGAAATCTGATCGCTGATGCGTCACTTCCCTTTCAGGCATGCAACTCAGTGAATCCATCTGCGCGGTGTTCTGGACCGCTGGCGCTGCCACCCCTGAAACAGCGGGGGTCTCTTTTGTGGCGCTGCTTTGGGGTTGCGAAAATGCTGTGAATACGCGCGAAGGACTGTAGAAGCCAATGTGAAGCATGTTCAGCAGTTGAGACAATGGTTGAAACTAGCTTCGTGTTTTGCAATGCTCCTTCGCCCATGGCCTCGCTCTTGCTTTGTATCCGGTGATATGCATACATAAAAGATGTTTATATATACACAAGGATAGTGTCTAATAACACTGCATGATGTGGTGTCATGTGGTTTCAAGAACTCTGGGATGAATCCTGGGAGTGGCCCACCATGGGATCTGATCCCATGAATCGCTCTAGCCTTGCCAACGCAACGCAAGGGACCGGTTCGGAATCCCGCAAGCCGAGCTTGTTCTGTTAATCTGCAACTCTTGCCAATCGAAGCGCCTCAAGTCCCTGGAGCTTCTGATGCGGCCGCAAGAGCAATTTGATATGGACTGGTTTCACAACAGAGAGACCTGCGGCAGCTGCCCAGACTTGGCTGAAAAGAGTGTGTGTCTTGCAGATGTGCAGATGGGCAGAGAGGCCAGAACAGGGCATGAGCGGCTAGCACAAAGTCACGAAGTGCCAGGCGTTGATTGCGCAGGGACGAGAGCTGAAAGGACAGAAGCAGTACAAGAAGGCTCAATCCCTCATCTGCAAAGGCAGAGCTAAGCGATGAACTGTCAAGTTGTCAAGGCACTGAACCGCTTCACGAAAGGTGCAGCTCTGTGCCAGCTGATTGCAACTCTGTGCAGCTCGCAGCTTGGGCTGTTCGGGCTTTGGCTTTGACAGGTGTGAAGATCTTGGTCGAGCTGGTGCAGACAGAGGACGAGCGTTGTGTATGCCGCACACATATGCAGATGCTGAGCTGAAGGACGACCCGGATCTGAAGACAACGGTGAACAACTACATCGACGAGGCGTACGAGCCACCTGGCTGCATTATTCCCGGTGTGGGGTTTGCGTGAAATTCGAGGGAACAGCTTTTGCGAGGTTGAAGAAGCTCGCCAGCGAGACTTCTGAAGTCAAGGACGGCAAGGACAGCAAGGATGGCAAGGAAGGCAAGGACGGCAAGGACGGCAAGGACGGCAAGGGCAAGGCGGAGGCCGAGGCATCGGCGGTGGATGCCCGGGCGGCGGCAGAGGCCAAGGCCGCAGCGGACGCCCGGGCCGCAGCCCAGGCCAGGGCTGCGGCGGCTGCAGCAGCTGCGGCGGCCGAAGCCCGGGCAGCTTCAGCCGCTGGCGTAGCGGAGGCACCGGAAAGACCCCACATCCCCGACAGAAATGGGTAAAGAAAGAGCGCGCCGGCCCATCGCCTCTGCCAGGAACACCGGCAGCAGCTCAAGCAGGCGTATGCCATCTTCGAGGAGGGTGAGGTCTGTGAAGCCAAAGGGAACCTGGCCGAGGCCTCCGCCAGGTTAAAGTTTGCAGCACTTACACAAAAGGCGACAGATTTTCGTCAGTTCTGTTGCGCTCGGAGGCGCAAAGGCTCTATGTCAGTGCGAGCCAGATGGTTATGAAGGCGGCTTCTGCTTGAGCAAGAGGGAATGTGCAGAATGGTATCCATTGCGTGCTCAGGTCATCACTTTGGACCAGTACAAGGGCAATGATATTCGGGAAATTCTGGTTGCTAGGAACAAGGCAGGAAATTTGCTTTGCAGTTGCCTGAAGTCCTTGGATTACACAGTATTACACAGGTGACTGACTATGTCAACCGTTCGGACGAGCTGACCAAGAAGCTGAAGCTGCAAAGCAAGACGAGGAACTCAGAGTTTTTGTTTGGACGCTAAGTGCAAAGTTCAAATTTGCAGAAGCTATTCTGCAAATGCTGCCCAGCGTAGGTGAAGATGTAAGCTTCTGCAAGCATGCCCAAATTGCACCGGCAAAGGCCAAAATAGCTGTTTCCCGCACGATGAGTATCCTTGGTCATACTCAGTTACATGTTCTGAGCACTCCCACATATTCCCTTTGCGTCAGACGTCTGTCTCGGGCTCCGCTTGGGTGCGTCAAGCTGCACTTCGGCCTCGGCTTGCGTCAAGACGAACACATTTTTTTTCGGAACTGTTGTCTGCTTCGTTAGTTTCTCTTGGTGTACTTGGACCTCCACCTCGGGCCAGCCCCGTTTTGCTGCCATGTGTGGTTGCTTCACATTGCTTCACACACCCCCGCAAATATGTGCCTCCAAGCCTCCAAGTCGAACAGGAGCCCCAAACCTTCAGCCAAGAGGCCTCATAAGCTGACATATGTCATGCGAATGAATTCATGTAGAGCTTAGCTGGCTGGGTGCACATGTTTCATTTCAGCTCGTCGACGTTGGATTAAGCGGTTTGGGACGGATTCGTACGTTTTTCATGCCAGTTCCCTTCACGGCATAACCTTCAGTAGACAACCAGCAGGGGTTGGGGGGGGGCGCAGCCGCCCCAATTGCAATCACAAAGCGCGCAGGACGGGCTTGGAAAAGACTCTTATGCTGTTGATGCAAGTTCTCTTTCCGGGTATGAACTCCCCCTGGCAGACACGGTGCTCGTTGGACGGGTTTGGAACGGCTGTCTGTGTGGATGAAGAAGCTTTCTTGACTGGGCATGAATGAAAAAAGCCGGGGGGTTGGCGCAGGCCCCGCCCCTCCCAAGTCCCTCCCCCCAGTGGCAAACAAAATGACGGGCTTTAAACAAGACTCGAATGCATTCAAGGCAAGTCTTCTTCTCTGTGAATGCTTTAAAAATCGGTGCGGATTCTTGTGTGCCGACGATACCTGCTTCAGCCAGGGAAAGCCGCAAGTCAGAGGGCAGAACCTCGCGGAGTCGCAAGAGAAGGTCACCGGAGGATGCCGGGAAAACATGTGGCTCATGTGGGTGCTCAGAGAGGACCTTGGGAGTTCAGCCTGTTTCAGCTTTCCAGGACCGCAGAGAGGAACGAAGAGACAGCGGTGGCAGGGCCCGTTCGCGAGATCGGCGCAACGATCGGCGGGACGCCCGACGCGACGACCGTCGGGATGAACGAGGCAGCTGAGAGAGCCCATGAGGGCCGTTGCGTTCTAAGGAGATTCTAAGTAGGTACTAAGGAGGCTCTAAGGGGGCCTCAGATGGATGTGACTGCACCATATTGCACCGCGCTTGCAGGCCGCAGGGGGGACCGAAGCCGCAGTCGGGACCAGAGGCACTTTGTTGGATTATTGTTTGCAAGTCCAGCTTTTCCAGTTTTGGATGTGAAGACGCGACCAGCTGGTATTGGTGCAGGCAGGGCAGCGGCAATCGGTCTGCGCCGGGGCCTTGTCAGAGAAGGGGCAAAGTCTCTGTCTGTCTGTCTCCGTCCGCAAAAGTGTATCTGTATCTCTCTCACTACAAAAACAGGTCTCCTCTTCACTCTCTTTTCCCTACCCCCCTCGCCCTTCATTGCCTGACTTCTTTGGGACGCGAAGTTGTTTGACTTTAAGCACCCCCGCTGCCCAGGGCGCGACGGCGCCGCGACAGCCACAGCCCGGAGCAGAGCGCCCAGCAGGACTCACAACTTCAAGAATCCCCGTAAGAACTTGACTTCAGAAGGGCATGAAAAGGAGCACCATGGAACCAGCCGTGCCCTGTGGAGTGCACCTGTAGCCAGGACCCAAGCCCTGGGGTCCCCGTCATGCAGGCGCGGAACCGGCCCAACTGAAAGCAGCCTGGTCTGTTCCCCCAACCCACTTGACCCTTGCCAACCCTCGAGCCCACAAGGTGACACAATGTGACATAACGTGACATAATGTGACATGACGTGAGAAAGGTAGAGGCGACGCGCCCCAAGGGCATGCCTCCGAGGCTTGGGTTTGCGTTGGTGTGGTTTCTCCTCTGAAAGCCGTCCCTCTTTTCAGGTGCCTCTGTCATATGTCTCATATGTCTTTGCTGTTTGAAAAGCGAAAGGCCTCCGGAGCGTGCGGAGGCTGCGGAGGAGCCCAAGAGGCCAGGATCTCCCTTTGCATTCAGTTTGCATTCAGTTTCTGAAAGTTCGCGATGCTCTGTCTCGCTCCGTATTGCTCGGTGCTCTGCTTGTTTTCCTTCTTCAGTGAGGCCCTTAACTGGAAAAGACTTGCTGGTGTTCAGGCCGAAGGCACGTGCTTTGGCAGTGTAGCCGCTCCGGTGGTGCAAGCTTTGGCGTCGTAGGCGAAGAGCCGGCGACAGACATCGACGACGTGATGCCTTGCTTGCCAGTCCTGTAGATGTCCTGTAGATCTCCTGTAGGCCTCGTAGACTCGTAGGTGTCTTTCGCTGCTCGTAGAGGCTGCCCTCTGGAATCCCTGATGTGTGCAGAGTTTTGAAAGAGGGCGCAGTGAGGGGCACCCCCTTTGTCGCTTTTTGTCGCAAGGACACAGATTGATACAGGCAAGAGGAAGCATGGTCACGGCATCTCCAAGTCACTGTTCACGCTGGCCCGAAGCTCCGCGGCTCAGGGGGGGCTCTGGGGCCCTGCATCTTTCCCAGGCCAGGAGTTGTGGAGACCCCGCCTTCAAATATCAAGGCATGTCAAAGCATGAAAAATGTCCAAAACCTTGCGAAGGCAGCTGCTGCCTGGTGGGAGGTGGGCTTCACTTAGCACACATTACATCGGATCACGTCGGGTTACGTCGGGATACATCGGGTTACATTTCCTTCGAGTCGCCACAGGATGCGTTTTGCCGGTCTCAGATTGCTCCCGGCCATCTTGCTCGTCCACAATGTGGCCACTCAGACCACAGATGGTGGACGCCCATTCCTCAGGGTGAGGGAGGTTTCGGCTGTTTCCGGATGCGACTCTCAACGTGCGCAGCCTGAGGCAGCGAGCTCCCCGGGATGAAGAAGGCGCTCGCAACTCGCAACAGCCAAGGGTGCCTCGATATTTTCCTCACTTTCTCCTTATCTCCCAGGACATCTTCGATCAGATGAAGGATGCCAAGAACAAGGGCCAAAGCGGAGCTCAGCCGCCTGCGGCCTAGCAGACCGGCCTAGTGCCCAAGCTCATTGCTGTCATTGTCGAGTTGTCACGTTGCTTCTGTGGCCTCGCCAAGGGCGAAGCGGGCTGACTGCCCAAAGAGCCTCTCGGCCCTGCATGGCTTTAGCTGCGGATCTGGTCGCCGCAAAGGATCAAAGGATAGCAAAGGCAAAGGGGGATAGACTTTGGGTAAATGGCCATGTTGATTAGCAATGGCAGACATTGGCCACAGGCGGGAGAAATGACTGTTCGCACCAGCTTGCAAGACTCCGTTCAGTTTTGTTCTTTTCTGGCAGAGAGTGATACAATTTGGCAAGCTTGCTTTGAGAATCTTGGCTTGTCTGATCTTGTCTTCAATGCCGGTTGCTGCCCTCCGGCTTCGGCCACAACCGCTGCTTCCCGAAACCCCTACCATCCTTCCAAAGCCCTGCAGACCAAAACTCCGCAGAAGTAGCGGCTGTAGTGTGCTGAGGCGACCAGCTCTCCCCGTTCAGGGCATTCTGCATTGCGCGTGTCTCATTGAAGACGGGTTTTCGGGCTATCAGGCTGAGCATCCTTGTTCAGCCTGTTCAGGTGCAGGGAGAGATCTTCGTGAAGTTCAACGACACTGACGACAAGTGCAGAAAAATCGTCAGCATAGGCACCCCGGCAGCACTACCATTGCCTGGTAAGGGCCGGTAAGGCTGCTTCCTAAGCCTTACAAGCTCCCTAATAGGCATCGTCGTTTGAGCTGAGTTTCGCTTGTGATCCCTGCCCGGTTTAGCCCAGAAAGGCAATCTGGCGGATGCAAAGGGTGTGCTGTGTCTTGTGAGTTTGCAGTCACTCAAGAGTGACTGCTAAGTGTACCCGCCGGCATCTCTGAAGATGGGAACAATTCTAGAACGCGTGCAGAATTTACCAACATCTCAAAAACTAAGCACTCCATCCCGCAGCCCTCACCCTACAGTCCCCCCAGATTCCCGCTTGCCCGAACACGCCCCCAGGTGGTGCCAACACATCGGCACTT